ACAATTAAAAAAACCAAAAGAACTTATTGAGATGGAATATTATCAAGATTGAGATTGACAGTGTTTTGCCTGGATCACAGACAATTAGAGTCTTTGAATTATATTGTCTTCTACTGTTTCAAAATGCCAAAAATTTGACATAATACTTGGCCTTGCTTGATTGAATTTCGATTTTGCAATCGCGTCTTTATTTCTGTTTGAAGATTAAAGAATGTGATTAAAGTAAATTAATTTTCCATTGAGCGGAAATGAGTATTACAAAGCATTGAAAATACATGTATATTGATTGCGTTAGAATTTCTTAAATTTTTTTCTCAGAAAACATATTGATAATGTACTACAGTTTGAGATATACTGTAACGGGTCAATTCATTTTTACGTGTTTCCTTACTAAATTTATCTATAATGTTGATATCTATAGACGCATATAATAAAATATTTTTATTAAACTAATTTGAATGTCCATGCAAAGGTCATTTACATGGAACAGCTTTTGTGTTGGAAAAGAACGCTAGGCACCCCCATTAACTTACTGGTATCTTAGTAGTACTACTGAAACCAATAATAATAATAATAATAATAATAATAATAATAATAATAATAAAAATTAAAAAAAAAACATTATAGAGATCACTTTGCCGTCGAGAAATCATTATTGGGGTCGGTATGGGGATATTTTTTTGTTGTTGTTTTTTTAGAGTTTTACGTCACATCGACACAGTATAGGTCATATCGCGACGTTCCAGCTTTACTGGTGGAGGAAGACCTCGGGTGCCCTTCCGTGCATCATGTCAGGCACGAACGGGCACCTGAATAGAACCACCGACGTTCCGTAAGCTAGCTGGATGGCTTCCTCACATGAAAGAATGCAAAGTCCCTGTCGGGATTCGAACCCACAGCGGTGAGGTGCAAGTGGTTTGAAGTCAACGACCTTAACCACTCGGCCACGGACCCCCCAGGGGGATATGTACGAATGAAATAAAACAATAAGCTCCTTCACCTTTTCGACTTGCACTTCTACGCTACTTTAGTGGTAGGGGCTCTTATTAGCTGTGGACAATTTATATTATCTACAGACAAAGGAATTGTACGTGCTTGAATAAATTCTAACGCCTGCTGTAGTATTTTCCAAATATCATTCCTGTTTTTGTTCAAGAATGTAATTACTTTTAAATTACACATTTATATGTATTTCAAGATTGTGTTCTGATTCGCTCTAAACTAACTGTTTTTAGATTAGTAATGCTATTGATGTTTGTGCATAGAGAGCGTTAATTAATATTTCTTGAAATAACATAAACTACTTTTTGTACTTTAAACACACTTTTATGTATCTTATGTTAACTCCACCATTGGGATTGTAAAATGTAATTGCAAACACAGCAATTTTCAAAACAATCTATATCAAAGAAAATCTCGATAATTAACAGCCTTTTTAAATTCAGTTTGCCACCGATTCATTTCTTAATAAACAGAAGTTAAGTTCAGTTAATTAATGCCCGTAAACGTTTAAATTAAGTACCTATTATCAATATCGTAAAAAATGGTTGAAAAGAAAATGTTGTATCTAATGGGTGTTCTGGTCGTTCTATACAAACATATATCTCTGGGGAAATATAATACGTCTGTTGAGTATGTTAATCAATCAGTCAGTCTGACACCTCTTTGTATACAAAATCAAATACAGAAAATGATAATTAAATGTTATAATAAAGTCAAGTACGCAGTAAAGAAAAGTATTGACACGAACCTTTCAAATGAATGGCCATTTTATGCAAAATGTCGATTTGTTAATACTCTAATTAACAAATGAATTGCGCCTTGGTCGAGTGGTTTTTCATTGAGCAAGAATGTTTTACATTTATTGCTAATTTCTGGTTGGTTAAGATAAACTTAAAAGCCAAATGTAGTTTGTTAAAGGCTATGATGCCAAGTCATGTCCAAGCAAATAAAATTTCATTCGCGAATCGCCCTCATACTTCGATCGATGAAGTAATAGACCGTCCATTGTAGACCAATTCACTTTTAAAAGACACATTGCTTTTTTCAAATTCACTTCATTTACTACTTAGTACTCTGTTTAATCTGATATACTTTTCGAACATTAGTAGAATTTATATTTTAAGAAACATGGACGCCAAAAGAAAAGATTGAATGAAACTGGTAGAGCATAAGTATTTATTATTTTGCAAATCAAGGTGTTCAGTTGGGCGTTACAAACATAAATTGTCATTCATATATTTTTAAGTGTAAACGAAAATTTATTTGTTTAGCTCTTTGGGCATTTATTGAGTTCATTCACAATAATTTCTTGCCCGAAAACCAAACAGTGCAGGCTTTGTTCGAACGACACGTTTGTAGATTTGCCAGCTGAAGTGCTAAACTGTGGCTGCATTGGTATATTCTGCAGGCCAAGTGTTAAATAACATGTAGTGGTATAATTTGCAATGATAAATGATAGGAAATTGGATAAATATAAGCTTCATTATTCTCACTTACACAACCAGCGCAAATATAAATGTGACAAGACAGTAATAAGACAGCTGTTGAAATCAGTTTTTTAAATATATAGTTTTAATACTTATATTTCAAATTGGCGCGAATTTAAAGATGGAGTCTTGATGCTTGCAATAAATCACACCATTTGCGGTGCTAGGTAGGGAATAAAACTGTCTTCATGGGATGAAATATGATCAAGATTAAGAGTGACAGTTTTTGTCTGGAACATAAGGGATCCGATTGATTAACTGTTTTGCCCGATGCAGAATACAGATAATTCTATCGTCGAATCAAACTTGCCTTTTACTGTCTATTGTTTTGGAACGAAAGTTTATAAAGCTGTTCACCAGACGTACTACTTACAATCACATGATCCCATGGTATCGATACAATGTCATTTAAAAAGTTAACACTAGAATGATGATTTTACATTACAGTTTTGTTTAAAGCGCTTTGCTATTGCAGTGTGCAGTTAATTATTTAGATATCATCCACAAAAGTTCTTGAAACATTTGAGGTTACGTGCATACATTTACTACGCACAACTTTTTGTTCGTTGCAAATATTCATTTTCATTTAAGATGTTCGTGTTTCTTTATCTACACAGGAAATTCAGTAAATGTCTATGTACAAGGAAAACTCGGCTAATATAAATTACGACTATACTAACAAGGAACTTTAAGAACAATATTAATCAAAATTAAAAATGTTGTGTGCGAATGATTTATTATCCCAGCAAACATGCATATATGGGACCCATATGGGCTATATCTAGGCAAGCCCATATGGGTATGCCCATATTGGACCTATATGGGACCAATATGGGCAAGTCCTTTTGGGTACGCCCATATTGGACCCATATGGGTCCCATATTACAGCACTATAAGGAAAAACGATTTTTCGTTTATTTATTTCTTTAGAACTTGTTTACTTTGAGCTATAGTGTGACCACCTTGGCATAAATTGCTATTATCTTTTATAAAAATCGTAGCATTAACATATATACAAGCCATGAGGGACCCATATGGGTCCCATTCGGGCAACCCAATAAATATTAGCATGCCTGAGCATGTGCGAGAAATTAATTTGTTTAGTTTTTAAATTGGTTTTAATTTTTATAATCTAAATATAAAAATGTGTTTTAGACTATTAATTCAGAAATAATTTATAAAAATCTGCATTTGATGAAAAATTTATTTCGAGCATGCGCATTTCCGCTGCCGCTTAAAATCAAATTGTGTATTGAAACGTTAACTTGTAAAATTGTACACGAAAACAATATTTCGTTTCAATTCGGAACATTTAACCACGATTTCGTATAACGACCTTTCATTTTATATCCTTACACATTTATTGTGTATGTAGGTAAGTGTAAACCGTCATTTATTTTTTGTTTTTGTCTTTGCCATGGTATTTCGCGATAGTCGTTTGTCAGTTTAATTTGCGACATTTTCTAGAATTTACACCCACTATTAGGCACTTTAGCTGACCTATGGATGTGTATAGTTGTTATTGTTGAATAACTTAACTGTGACGGAGTCGACACTAACATTTTAATAATATTGTTTCTATCTAGACTAAATTTTAAGAGATCCTTTTTTAAAGGGACACCATCATAATCCAGTGACCCCTCCTAGCCTTAGAAGTCCCTTCCATTTTGAACCAATATTTCATTCATAAGCATTTTAAAATATTAAATGCAAATACTTATTATTACAAATACACCAATAAACACTTTCCCCAACTAGCAGACGACAGGCTTTTCTTATCAGTAGGTTTTCGAGTAAAGATAACCGGTTGCGTATCTCGCTGTATAAATCGTATGTAAAATGGTCATATGGTAGGTTTAACAGTTAATTTAAATACTTTGGTGACAAAAAATATGTAAAATTATATACTGTGGCAAAGCTAAGATCCCAAGCTTTCCATTGATGTAATAATTTTTAAAATCAGACATTTAATCACCACAAACTAGCGGTTTAAAAATGGCTTAATTTGTATTGTTTTAGCGTAAGAGATATCGATTTTACTCGAAGATAAGGGAAACAACTCGTATTTTTTCACTCGATATACCTCGGTTATTTACGTAGTTCATATGAAAAGTGTTTATGGGTGTATTCAAGTATTTTTTCCAAGTACCAACCAAGCCCTATGTTGCACAGGCACGAGTATCGGACCTGGGAAGAAAAAATATGACCCGAAAGATAATTAAACCTGTGTTCATCTTTAAAAGGTCAAAAACCGAAAAAAATTGTAAATTATACCCCCCTTTAAAAACATACTTTAAGTTAAGAGAAGGCCAGAAACTCCAGATTCGAGCCTGCAAGCAAGGGAGATACTTCCGGGGCCGTTGTGAAAACAATTGTCCAGACAATTAAAAAAATCTTTTATCACTTTCACGTTTGTATTAAGCTTCCAAATGGGACCAAGTCTTTAGCCCTTCCCGTTCATGAAATATCTATCGGGGAAACAAACGCATTCATGCTAAAAATCCTTGGTAGACAAAATTGCGGCACAACAATTCGGTACGTAAACATAGACTAGTACATGTTTGCCAGCTGATTACGGGTCATAATCATATTGTCACTTGGCGCAATAACTCACTTAATGTATATGTATTTTATAGGCCATCAAAAAGGCTGTATGAATCGGATAGTGGCACTGATGAGAATGAGACAGACACAGAGAGTAGGCCACCACAAGTTATTGACCAAGCAACAACGCCCAAAGAGTCACAAAGCCTACTTTCATCTCCGCCTCGCTTATCTGCACAGGCATTGCGAGAGGCCAGCAGTGATGTGCAAAGTGCTTCTCCAATACAAGGTGCTTCTGATACACCCTTCCGTGGGCAGATTATTGGGCCCAGTAAGTATAAACTTCGGAGCTATAAATATATTTATTATTACAGTACATACTTATTAAATGTTATATTCTCAAAACAAGTCAATAAATGTTATAACAAGCTGGATTGAGTGACACAGCCAAAAATGGAAAGTTTCACCTTGTGACGCCCCTAGTTCAAAAAATATTCAAAAGAAATTGATGATTACTTGTGTTAGTCTTTATCATGATGTGAATTTGTGCGCATATTCTTGCCTGACCCCACTACTGTTATCCAAAGTTACGGTCCCTGGAAGAGTCAAGAATGTTTATTTTCACCAAATGACATGCCTAGGCTCAAAAATATGTTAAGTTTAATTCATGATTTCTTATCATTTTCACATTTTGTGACCTTGCACACTCAACAATCCTTTTGAGATTTTAGCGTTAATTACTGTTAAAGCCAAGGAAAAATTTAAAATACTGGATTTTTTTCATTTGAGCCGGGTCATGACAAAACCAACATAATGGGTTTGCGACCAGCATGGATCCAGACCACACATAGCTCTAAAAGTATATGGCCTAGAATTATGAATCCTTTTTTTCAGCTGCTGTTACACAGATTCTCCGAGTCTTGGAGACAATGCGAGAGAAGAATCGTGAAATTAAGAGGATGGTGCAGCGAATGCTGTTAAGGTCAGCAGCAGATGACCAACCGCTGCAACTTCCGAAAGATATCTCATTCCCTATTCGTTATCCTGAGCAGATGGAAGCATTCGATGAGCTTCTGGGAGATCAGACAATGCTCTCATCTGTGGTAAGCATAGTGTTAGTCATGTATGTTGCTCCATTAGTAACTGAAAAAAGTATACCCCATATCCACTGGCCTAAAAGCGAAATAACATAATGGTCTGTGGTGAGCACTTGATGATAATGTATAATCATTCTGCTATATTTATGTTGGAAAATATTGCACAGTGGACAAACACTTTGCTGCATTAATTTCAGAATTAAAAACTGGCATGTTTTAATCTTTTGATTCATATTGACACAGTTATGTTATTTATATATGCTATAATAGCCATGAGCACAAGACATGGGCAGTTGGCCTCGTTTTCAACATTAATTATTAATTAATCAGCTTACAACTGACTGCAGCTATATCACAGAAATATTGTTAAAAGCTATGTAAAACCAGGAAACAAACATCTATATTTGGTAAAACATACCAGAATTAGTTTATATTCCAATTTATACTGCTCAAAATGCTACAAGGTGGCTTATGACCTTTGAATGGTTTCAATACCTTCATTTCACTTCATTTCATTCTTTAAGGATAAGAATGCTTGTTTTGTAGAATGTGTCCAAAGGAACTTGCCGACAAAGGCTGCAACGAGGAAGGATGTTGAAATAGAGGTTTCAAAGTGGATGGCTGGGGCGCGGGACCGCGATGGGGGAAGAAAAGCAAGAAACAAAGTGTCAGAGACCTTACCTGAAGAAAATGAAGGAAGTGACTAGACATGTTTTTAATTTAAAAATGCAAATTTATAGAGGATATTTGTTTGTTTGTTCGAAGATGAAATTCTATATCATCAAGAGAGCTTTAAAAACAGTATTCTCATGAGTGGCTATGCGCTCGTGAGAACACTGTTTTTTAAAGTTCCTTCAATGATATAAAATTACATCTTACACAACAAACAATAAAGTGTCTTTTTATTTTATGCTAATGAAATTTCCTCAATATTAACGTTAATATTAAATCTGTTTTCCCCACTGTTAACATCAATTTTAGTTGAATTTAAGTCCCATTTCTCATAAATACAGGAAGTCTTGGGCTGAAAAATAAGTTTGACAATCAACGTTGAATAGCCATGATATTATTTATTGAATTCAAAAAATTTGAATGATGATAAAATCTTTAAAAAGTAGTCTCGTCATAGAAAAGTTTGAAATTTTAATCATTTTACTGTGAAATTATCAAATATATTTTTCACGGATACATCAGTAATACACTCAAAAGCATAAAATAAATGACTTTTATTTTACATTTTCAAACCTTTACTTCATCTGCATATAAGTTATTCCACTGATTGAAAGTCAATATGTATCAAGGTATTTTTAAAATGTGATAAGGGTCAGAACTACAGTAAGCGGCTCATTTGTTTATCTTGTTATACTTTTTGTTGCTAATTTTAATGTTTGAGGTCATCAGCATAGCATGTCTTTCTTGTAAATGCAAAATTCTTGTCTAGTCAAATTTTGCCTTCTAGTCAGTATATTCTGCTGCTATGTTATGTTTGTTGTTGACATTATATGCTGTTTTTCTGTTGTCTATATGCTGTTGTTTTTTTTCTCCATTAAACATTGTTACTGCACGGAGGAAGGTAGTCTAGTACTGGTGTAACTCTCCAGAAACGATGGTTAGGAAACTACCCGCCTATATGACGTAAAAGGCGTAAAATGAAGCAAACAAACAAAAAAACATTGTTACTATTTAAATCAAGACATTAAATGCTTGGGGAATGTTTTTGATAGTGATCAATACAATTATAACATCTTGTCAAAACTTGACACTAACAGGGAACACATATATAGATGTGGTATTAACCTTGAAAATAAAGTTGAAATACTTTACAATGATGATTCTTGTAATCTTTATTGCTGTTATTGTTGAAACTTTGATAATATCGGAGAAATTACTGAAACCAACTATCTTTACTGACAAGTTTTTTTAATGAATTTCTTCACAACAAATTTGATCTTTGTGTAATATCACATTTTAATTATTATTGATTTTTACAAACTTGTACAAACTATTTTTTATTTTTCATCAGCTGCATATTTTGTTTACATGTCTATAAACAGTATTTCAATGTGCCAAGATTTTGTGTATTATATTTGTTACTTTTCATTAGCTGCATATTTTGTTTACACGTCTATTAACAGAATTTGTAACAACCGTGCCAACCTTTTGTGTATCATATTTGTTACTTTAGCTGCATATTTTGTTAACACGTCTATATAAACAGTATTACAACCGTGCCAACCTTTTTTGTATTACTTTTTGTTACTTTTCATTAGCTGCATATTTTGTTGACAATTACAACAGTGCCAACCTTTTGTGTATTATATTTGTTACTTTTCATTAGCTGCATATTTTGTCCACACGTCTATAAACAGTATTACAACCGTGCCAAGGTTTTGTTAATTATATGAATTTTTTTTCATCAGCTGCATAATATTTTGTTTACACATCTATGAACAGTATTACAACTGTGCCAAGGTTTTGTTTTATTATATTTGTTACTTTTCACGAGATGCATAACATTTTTTTCTTCAGCACTACAATACCAAAGTGTAATACATGGTTGTAATGAACAACTTTTTATATTAATTGATGTAGATCTGTATCATTTGAAAATGAAAGTAATTGGTAGATAGAAATTTGTAATGAATTACAGTAAATGTATAATACTTTTGCTATGAATCATGTAGAAAGTTAAAAAGACATTTGGGGTCATACTGTTGATTCACTGAAATTTAAACATTATACACATATATTTCTTGGAGTTCCAAAGACCTTCTGTAAAGTTTTACCAGTGTCTAGCATAAGTTTCATTTTTCCTTATAGTGATCTGTAAGGTATCTAATGTTATAAAACTGCATTTTTAATTATTTTGTTCGTACATTATAAACAGTTTTCAATTACATGTTGCTTATTTAGTGTACCAAAGTAATATTTACTACCTGGGACTTTTTGAATAATAATTAATATTTCTGTATTTTTGAATTAAAAACTATGTAGTCAAAATGAAATTCTGTGGATTTACAAATATGTACAGTTTACTAGATTTTTATATTGTACACTTTTCTAAGTTTATTTACATAAGTAAAGGTTTCTTTGTTGACATCAGGCGTCCACAGAATGTATTGAGAATCTGTATATATATGATATACACTTACCATAAGTGAGATTACTAAATAAAGTTACATTGTTAAAGCATATACATTGTGTATTGTTTTCTTGCATGATCATAAAGGCTTTGTGCCATAATCTGTCTGTTCCAGGAAACAGAATGAGTTAAAACATCATTTGAATATTTAACGCAAGTACAAGAATCATGCTCTGTAGCAAGCAGTTGCTATCTAAACGTTCAGCAAACTTGTAATTGAAGTAATTGAATATAGATCTACCCCGGAATTCAAAATCTACCCATAATGGAAGTATCTGGGCTGCCCATTTGAAACCCATATTTAGTACAAGGGCTGCCCATATGGGGCCCATGTGGGGCCCATATTGTGTACATGGGCTGCCCAGATGGGGCCCATGTGAATCCCATATTGAGTATAAGGGCTGCCCAGATGGGACCCATTTGGAACCCGGTTGCACTTCCTATATGGGGCCCATATGGGCAGCCCAAATGGGACCCATATAGGTGCCCATATGGGCCCCACATGGGTCCCATATAGAATGCTATCTGGGATGGACATGCTCTTCTTTTATTTAAGAATAATCGTTTAATAATATTTTAGAACGATTTTGTAATAAAAATTAAGTGTTAGATATGTGTTTAAGCAAGTTTTGTGTGCATAATACGTTATGGCCATGGATCATAATGTGTATTCTTTTATTATCAACCAGTAAAAATGAATTTTAAAAATGAAAACCAAAGAAAACATAGCAATAATGCCAATTTTAAATGTACTCTTCACATATTTAAACTTTCTTTTTTGAGAATATTATTCCAAGACCTTCTTTGAGTTTCTTTTTTTTTTCCATAAAGTAAAATATACCAAGTATGATATATGGTAACCAGGAGCTTTTTTTCAACATATATAGAGTACGTTATCAAACAACCTTATTAAACTTTAAAGGATAACATTGTGTTCTGTACTACTGTTCTATATTATATGTGTCCACATGTTTCATTTATATTTATTTTTCAAAAATATTTAATATTTAACATTTGTTGGGATATAGGACTGAGTATTTTAACAATTTGTGTTATTGGAAGTATATAATATATAAGCACATTATTGATTACAACCCATGAGTTGAATACAAAACAGACCATAGGATGAAAGTTTTTCTGAAACACGAGTGCTATTTATATATCCAGCCACACGAACAATGTCATCAAATTGACAATTATTGATAATCCTTCTTAGTTGTCAAATCAGTAATTTAAAAAAGACAACAAAAAACCCTAACAAAATGAAAAATATAGATCATAAAATCAATTTTTCAAATGATTTGTTTCCTTTTATTAGTTTATTGAAAATAAATGTCACTTCATAGGCATAAATCCAAAACCGTGATCAGCCGTGTCATTGATGAAAACAAGTAACAATCAACTGGCTGTACTTTTGTATTTAAGAACACATTCTTAAGACACATATACCTCTTGGGAAATATAAAAAAGTCTATGGTATGTGTTAATCAATCAATTGGACATTCTGGTACAGACGCCATACAAATTTGAATATAGGAAATGATAATTAACTGTAATAGAGACCAATACGCAACGACAAGCAAAGGCTAAATCGTCGGGGTTTAAGGCCGGTCATTGTTGATTATTATGCAAATAACTGATTTTTTTCTCTTTTTTCAACTTTTACATCAGTCAGATTTATTTCTTTTGCAATCTCATTTTAAGATATAAGTTAATGAGAATAAGGGGTTATGTTGGCATTTTGTCTGTTTCATAAAAGTCTGACCTAATAATTGTAGATCTATTGTTATAAATCAAGGGCAATGACTTGCTCAACATAAGTCTTTTTAACAACAGTCCAGGTAGATCTCCATATAACCTAACAAAGTATAAAAATCCCGTCAGAATAGGGTGAAAAGTCCTGTTTCAATATTTCAATCGGAGGATCATGTGTTTTTAAGATGAATTAGTTCCTAGTCAAAAACAATAACATATATCTCATGAAAGCCCCTTTCATATCCAGGCTGTGTAAAATTTAACCTAACTTCTAATGCTCTCTGAATATATTTTCTGTACTTTGATCTGAA